TAGTACGTGCTTTTTTTTCTTATTAATTTTTTGGAGGCGATGATTGGTAGGGACTTGAAATTTCTCCCATGGGAACGCCGCAGTATCATATAACTCTAATGAAGGGGGAGAGGAGGGTCATCCCAACGTTATTAAGCATTATAAGAGGGGAAGGAGGTGTCAAGGGACCGTTATACAGCCATTTTTTTAAGTTACAGGGTGACCCAAAAGCAGCTCCACTGTTTTTAACTGCTTGTCATTTCCTATTAAATTAAAATGAACACATCTTAGATAACACATCCCAGATGGAGTACAACTCTTATGTGTTCCATACAAATTTATTCCATGAAAATCAATCTCGTGGTCAGGAAGTCGTTGGCGTTTTTCAAAAACAGCAAAATTTGGTCGTTTTCGGGGATCAATTTGGGATGTACCTCCTTTCGGGACAGAACATCTCAACTCTAGCTGTTCGCTAGAACCAGAAAGTGATGCGCGGAACTTACACATTTTCCTAATTTGCGTGGTCCCCTCTTAAATGCAACGAGTTCATCTTGGCGAGGAAGATAAACGAGCAGGGAAATTCCTTTATCAGGAAAAAAAAAAGGCTAGGTGATAAAGAAAACGAATCACGAGTTCCTAAACCGAAGATGAAAGGCGTGAACCCTCTCCAAATCGAGCAACAATTCCGATTCTATGTTTAAGTCGCGCAACACTCTTTGAATTTGGTGCTATTCGTAATTTTCATCGATTACAGCTCGTATAGGCCTGCTGTTCTTTTTTCTGTTTGGTTTCTGCTTACCTGGAGTCGGCAATGTGGCCGGAAACGTGAAATTTTGTTTTGTTTTCTTAAAAAAATTAATTACTTCTTGACCATGAAATTGAGTGTGATTAAATAAAGTTTTACTGGAATATGAAAGTGTTGTACTACATCAGATGCGAGTATACATTATTTGTTTCAATTGACTAGGAAATGGCAGGCTGTTAAATACGGTTTAACTTTTTTCGGGTCACTTTTGGATCATGTAAGACTTTGCTACTCGCTCACTCATGATCGTTTGTGATGGATCAAAATGCCATGTCCTCTACGGAGCCCAATTGAAAATTATAAGTATACATACTATAAACTGTTGGACATGGGGTCTGACCGAAGGTCAGTCGTTGTTATTCCGGGGGGAGAGGAGCTGAAAATTGCCAGCATTTTATGTACCGGGTGTTGCACATAGATAGCCCCTCCACAGCCTAAACTATAAGAGCTAGGAAAAAAAAACTCGTATATCATGAGAAAGAGCATTCATTTTCGAATCTAAACATGCACTTCTCATTATTTTTATGCACCCTGGCTCTGTCTCTGAGAGCTTTAATACGAGCGGGGTAAGATGAAAGGAGGCGCTTAAAGAGTTCGGTGTCATCTTCCACGTCCTTCAACGCCCTAGTGATGTCGCTTTGCAAGGCTTCCCGGGAGAATCCATGCTGCTTGCCCTCCATGTGCATGAGCCTCAATTCGGTCTTTCAGGATAACCCCAATGTTCTCAGCCACATTCAGATCAGGAGAGTTTCCTGGCCATTCCACTTTACCAAAAAAAAAGCAATCCCTGAGTCTTTCAGCAATTGCCGTGTGATCAAAGCCTTGAAAAATAGGGCTTTATCAGACAGAAGCTGAACGTTTAATCTTTCTCGAAACCCATGAACGGGTAACGAATTCAGCTCTGACATCAAGAGCTCGAAACGTAATAGCACGGGTGGGATCATTGAATTTAAGTTTTTTACCATCATATGACATCAGGGAAAAACAAAATTGGATGGAGTAGATTCAAAACTGAACATGGATTCAAAATATATTTTAAATGTTTTCCTACATTTCCTTAGTTTAGGCTGTGGAGGGGGGGCTATCTATGTGCAACACCTGGTATGTTTGAGCGTTCCTCATAGTCTCCATCTACGCTCGCATAATAATTTTAAGATGAAATTGAATTGGAATCATAATATGTAGCTAAGGCCCTCTCTGCATGAACAGGCTTTTTTCACACTGATAAACATGACAAATGCTGCTCTGGGTGTGAAAATAACTCGGAGTACTGCGGCATTTATAATAATAATTAACTAATAATACTATAACTATTATATTTGAAATTCCAGTGAGGAAATGTGGACTCATTGAGGAGGAATGAAATCTGAACACTCTTCCACGCTTCCAACGACTAAATCTACACATTAAAAAATTAACTTTCCCATGGTGATTCCGGATTACTCTGACTTTAAAAAAAGCAAAAATGAAAATAATGCGGGAAAATATGAGGTCTAAATCGCCAGGATTCGTGACTGGATGCGTGTCAGCACGTATGTAGAGGAAGTCATGAGGTAGCGCGCGTGGGAGTGAATGAGAATGGGTTGCTTTCTTATTGAGCCAAGAAGCCGGTTCACTTGTGCTCCCGTCGGTTCCATTTCGACTCGCACGCGGGAGGCCTTCTGTCTGCATTGCAGGCCTTTTGTCTCCGTAGTAGGCCTTCTGTCTCCGTCGTAGGTCTTCTGTCCGCGTGGCAGGCCTTGTCTCCGTTGTAGACCTTCTGTCTGCGTGGCACGAGGGATTGTGCCCTGCTTAAGCATTCCCGACTGAAAATCCCTGACATTAACTCTTCCCGATACCTTACCACCTGACATAATATCCCCCCGACATAAGCGAAATGAGAAAGAATATTCCAATATATTAGGTTTATGGATCATCCCAAAACACCGACAAAAAAAAAA